TCTCGTTGCTTTATAATTATTTTTCTTCTTTGTTAGAAGTAAAACTTTCCAAAATTTCAACATGTTTAACTATGTTAGAAATGTTAGTGATGCAATGAATGACAATGATACTTACTATAAGAAATTAAGATGATGTTTATCTCTCTAATATTTTAAGTGAAGTAACTAATGAGAATTATTATTATTATGTTAAATTTTTCTAAAGTAATTTTTGTGGGTTAAATTAAAATTTTGTATATATTTGAAGGCCACTATCTACATGAACCCTTTAGAATGCATCCAAAATTTAAATTAACTAGTGGGGTGTATGGCATCGTGCCTTAAGGCAAATTGCTGGAACTTCCCGTACCGTAACGAAATATTCGAGGAATACTGAATGTTTTCAAATAAATTATTATTAATATTGTAACAACTATAGTCAGAATTAAAAATAAAATGTGAATTATTCCCGATGTTCCGAGGTATGTGTGTGTGTGTATATATGTATGAATACAAATTTCCAGTCACGATTTCGGGCGCACGGATCAACCGATTTGAATGGTTAAAAAAACATTCGCTTCCTATTGATAAGGAGAATGCTGATTAGTTTTTGGCAAAGGCAGGTCCAGCCGTTTCGGAGATACGGAGCCAAGAGTGCAGAAAATAGTAAATTAGAATGAACTAAAAAAACATTCAATTAGTAATGATTGCGAGTAGTGTTTGTTAGTTTATGGCAAAGGTAGGCACAGCCATTTCGAAGATACGGAGCTAAATATGTAAAAATGGCAGTTGTTGAGAGAACTAAGCGTCCGATTTAAATGATTCAAAGAACTTTCTGCTTGTCTTAACAAAATAATTGATTTTGGAAAAAAAATTTGTTTCAACTTTTTTTTGCAAAAACATTTTTTTTTGTATATCGAAAATAATTCAGATTTTCTTTTTAATTCTGACTACAGTTCTAATATACTTTAAACAAATAATTTCATCTTTGCAATTCAGTTTATATAATTCTTGTAAATATTAGACAATATTACAATATTAATAATAATCTATTTGAAAACATTCAGTATTCCTCGAACATTTCGTTACGGTACAGGAAGTTCCAGCAATTTGCCTTAAGACACGATGCCATACACCCGACTAGTTTTTCATGGAATTCGGTGGCTTTTTGTTTAATACAATCATACGTCGAATCACTGGATTGACATTTAATTTCGACATAAATCGAAAAAATTTGATAAAAATTGTTAATGTCCAATGCAAATTAGACTTTGGTATGTACCTATAGATTTATTTCAAATATATCAATTTACGTTCGGAAAATATATGAAAGGAGTTAATAATTATGAATATATTTGCATAGTTAACTAATTCAAACATAAAAATTAGTTTAGTTTTTTATATTTTTATATGTATATATTTATATTTATATATTACTTTCAATTTATTTATAAGCTTTGATTTTGATTTGATTTGACGGGATTTGAACCCGATTATTTTTAACAATCTCATCTATGATTCCGAATGCAAAAAGTAAGAACTAGCTTACTAATTACTATTGATATTTTAATGCATATTCATAGGAAACACCGTATTTTATAATTTAACCAATTCTTTTAGGCCTATAATATTTTAAGGTGTTCGGTATGATTCTATTAAACTCTATCACTGTGCAAAGTTTCATCAAAATCACTGAAGGTTTAAGGTTTTTCTGCTAAGTACCAAAAATAATTTGCTGATGATTCATAGTAAAATAGGTGCAAAAATTAAAAAAATTATAAAAAATAGATTTTTGTTCAAACTTTTCAATTGAGTAAAAATTTAAAGAGTATTATTATTTAAATTTATAAAAATTTAAAGAGCCTTATTATTTAATCTAGAGTTACGAATCAAAAATAAAAAGTTTCACGCTTTGCAGAAAGTAAAATAATGTTCATTTTACTTTTTAATTAGAAAGGTAGAATCATCAACACAATTTCAACAATCTCCTCATGCATTTCATCGACTTCAAATTTCTCTCTATTTATTAATTATATTCATCACATATTTGTTTTCAAACTAGGATGTCTCGAGGCGCAATGCCATTAACAACTATTTCAAATAACCATATGTCAATGGTATATCATAAGAAATACTGAAATGTATAATTTTAACTATAACTGTATGTCTCCATCATTATATTCCTCCTTGTTTTCTGCACAAGCATAAATCGTAGGAGAGAGAATGCATATTTAACACGACACCACGCGAACTTTCGACATTTTGCCACGGCCCACTTGCAGACGTCGTGATATTGACACACTACGAGGTCGTTTATGCAAACATCACATGCTCGTCTAACCTAACCGATCGATCAATTTTTATTACTCATGTTTGCCCGTGAGATATAGCCATCTGCCTGTAATAGACTAGCAAACTATCTAATGTGTGTGCAGACATCTAAGATGTTTTGGCTGGGCAGAAATAACTGAAAATTTCTACTCGTGCAAACAAGTGCTAACCAAGAAAACAAACGTTAAGAGGATGTCTATGGATTGAATTGAAATTTATGTAAGGGTACGTGTACTCTTTTTGTATTGGGGGATGATTATAATTTGGGATCGTAGACTGTTTGTTTTTGCAAAATTCACTTTAGTTGAAAATGATTTACTTTTGTTGGTGATAAAACATGGATCTAAGTCGAATGTAAGTAACCATAATGACACAATAATCCAAAATCGTTTTGACCTTCAAAATTATTGTTTACTTTTACTTAGGCAATAAATTGGCATCAAATATTGGCAGCTTGAATTAACACGTAGGCAACTTAATTGGTAAATGGGCTAGAAATCACAAGTCACAATAGAAAATAATCTCCTAATATACAAGACAATTATTAAACCAATATGGTCCTAAGGCCTACAACTATGGGGTGCGCCAGTAAATCGAACATAACTATTCTACAAAGGTTCCAAAATAAAATTTTGAAAGAAATCGTGAACGCTCCAAAATACGTTCCCAATTGGTTGATACATCAAGTTCTCAGAATTCCAACTATAGAAGAAGAAATTAGTTTTTACTGCACCAGATACAAAGCTCGTCTAAGTTGTCATCCAAACGTATTAGCGTTAGATCTGCTCAAGCCTTTACCACCAAAGCGTCTCAAAAAAAAATTTGCAATGATTTACTACAAAATATAACATAACATCTATGAAGGCGCTATCGCAGGATAGCGATCCTTCTCACGCAGTCAAATAATATATAAATGTAACAAATGCCGCTGAATGTACTTTGTATAGCTTGCTATGAAAAATATATAAAAAAATACATTGTGAATAAAAATGTGCAATAGAGAATTACGACTTGTAACCTCCATAGAATAGTGAAAATTTGAAAAGCATCAAGTCAACGTATCTCACCGCTTATTATTTTATATCCATTTGTTTTTTCAGTATCAATACATTTTCCTATGATGAAACTGCCATTGAGGGTAATTGATGTGAAACATATCGCGCGAGATTAAATGTCAGGATTGTTTCGAACTACAATAATAACAGAATATATCAATTTATCACAAACCGTCAACGTCATCCCATTATTCAATGTTACATCTGCGGTCTGTGATATAACTGTTGCAGAACAAAAGCTAGTAAACAACAGAAACGCTCAAAAAGAACATCAATTTTAGTCAGGAAGCTGGTGACCATAAGTGGATAAAATAATTAAAACTGACAATGATAAAAATAAGATAATTTTATATTTAATACATTATTTTCATTTATAACTGAAAAATCAAAATATTTAAATATAATTACATGTTACGACTCTTGCGGTTTTGGATGATTACCCAATGTAGCGGAATCTATTTGCAACTGGCGCATATACTAGAACCTTCTTGGAAGTTCAAAATTTAAAAGACTTGAAACTTTAATAATTTAATCTCATTCTCTATATTTGATAAGATTATTATAATATAAAAATGATTGTCACATAGACTTATCAAAAACAGAAATAGCAGTAAATTTAACATTGCAATAAAATATATCATCCTAGTGTTTAGCAATTGCAACTTGTGTTTAGATGGGAAAGAATACTTTATATCTATTTTGTAAAGTTCTATCACAAACTCTACGTTTATACATCCAGAGCAAAACTACATCTAACTACAAAAGTCACACATATGAGACCGCGGCACCAGAAATTCTATTATGCTATAAAAGTTCATGCAGAATCAAAGGAAATTGCTTTGGCTCGCTTCGTTCTTTGATAAGGAATAGTGAAAATATATTATTTAATAGATTTGAATTATATTTGATAGAGATATTCACGTGAGATATAACTTCTGAATCAAGGGTAAAGGGTTTGATACCCGCTTTGAGCAGAGTGATGTCAAGCAGTTGTGACAACAGTTTTCATGTGAAAATATAATTAGCAATATGTCACCAAGCGAAAACAGCCCATACCCGACATCGTATTTTTTTTAAAATTTATTTGAACAGCGATCAGAACTTGAGAGTTCTATGAGCTGTTGTGATTAATATCTTACAAATTACGTTTGTTTTTATTATAGATGGCAACCCAAACAGTTGTCTCATCTCTATGAATTTTTATTATTACAATTTCTGTAATAAGGTGAGTATTTTTAATGGTGCAGCAATGTACCCGACATTGCTGAATTCATGAAGTCATATTCATCACTACTACAAAAATTGTAGTAATGAAATTAATCACATAGAGTTGGGACAACTGTTTGGGTTGCCATCTATTATAATGCTACGTGGTTAGCAATTAATTACAATAGCTCATAAAACTCTTAAGTTTTGAACTCATCTATTCAAAGAAATGATTAAAAAAACATATTACTTTGAAGATTTTAGCTAAAACATTATGAAAATATTTATGATGCGTATTCATAATCTGTCTATAAAGTCTTATCGTTGGTTTATTGACAAATAGCTGTTTTAATCAGCACAAACTTTAATTGGAAACATGTTGCCATTTATCACAACAATTAAATTTTCATCAGCAAAAAAAAATCTTACCTTGCCATCAAGCAAAGCGTTCTCGGGCAGTCCCTCGCCGATATACTCCACATTATTAGCCTGCGAGGCATAGTTGGATTGAGAACGTGCGACTTCAATTCCACAGAACAGCAGAAGGAAGGCTGTATTCCAAACGGCTGCGGATTTTGACATCTGAAATAAATTAGTGACCATTAAATCTCTGCAATAATTAAACATGATTTCGAGGATTAATATCATACAAAAAATGTATTCACACATTTGTCAGTGTTAATCAGGTCGTGCAGATGCCACAAATGACTGCCTATTTGGCTAAATTTCGTTAATTAATTCAATACGTTATATATAATATTCATATACATGTACATGTCTATGTGTTGAACGCTAAGATCTTTGAAAATACTTATAATGATTTTTATGATTATTTTGTATGAGATTAAGGGGGTTGTTCGTTCAAACAACTTCATAACATTACGCAAAAAAGGCCCTTTTTAACACTTTTTTGTTTAAATAACTGTCATTTTTTCCTTCTTGCTTTTTTTCTTTCATTTTGGTAGGGGGACTAGATTCAAACTTCTTCTTCAACGTAGTTTCGTTTTTTTTTCTGTTTCAGGCGATGCGCAACGGATTTATCTGTAGCACCGCAAAAGAGATCGATTTTGCAATGCCCACTTTGGCGCTCTCTGGTTAAGAAATGACGGCGACAAAAAAAAGAAAAAAAATTTCTTAATATTCCATGATTTTGTAATTTTTGTTTAAAAAAAGCCGCATGTCTCTATGATAAATACATTTCGATAAAAACAAAAACAAATACCTTGCATTTTTTGTAACAAAAAAAAGAACAACCCCCTTAAATCATTTCCGATCAGTTAGTATTTCATTTGATTTGAATTTATTTTATTCAAATTATTAAGAATTCAAAGATTTCTGACAATTATTTTTTTATTTTAAAAATATTTATCGACTTATTAAATTTGAATTATTATTATTTTTTTTTTAATTAAATTAAAATTTTATTAGTTTTATTCGAGGTATTATTAAGATGGTATAGTGAATATAAGTCCAATTCTGATAAGATATTTACTACATAGTATATTACATACTGTTTGACTTGGTGGTTGTTCAGATATATAGAACAAAGAAAACGCAAGGAAAATGTTCTGAAATATGCTAAAATTAATTTGGATTTGTTAAGTCGTCCATCTTTTAGCCATTTTTTTTAAGAATGTGTATATATTTTTGTATTAGAACATAATTTATCTCTTTATTTCCGAACAATCAGTGCAGGATTGATCAGAATATACTTTCATAAAAAACTAGGTATATAATTAAGTAGTAGGTTTTTTTCAATTATTTTTGTATAAATCTTGAATGTGTTACTTTATTGTTATGATGTGCTGTATTGGAAAGGGTTTTTTCATTTTGTATAATAATCTTGGTTGGCCAAACTTTATTGAAGTGTTTGGCTGACATCTGGAAGAACACCTTTACCATAATCCTTATTCTAGAAAGCCATATGAATAATATTTATGACTTCATATACTTATTGCAAAATAATAAATTAACATCAAAACCAAATTGATGAACATATTACTTATCTCTAAAATTTATCTCGTTATTATGAGTAGTAACAATATTGGTCGGTTTGACAATATCTCCTGATAGCAAGGATTAATGTAAATTAATTAGCGAATACACAATTATCTATTTAAAAATAATTATTTGTTACAACCCATACGCCTTATTCGATTTTTATTGCTTATGGTAATATTTGTTTGACTATTATATCTTGTATTTGTATAGACCAATGCGTTGAGGACTCAAAAACTACTCGATAAAAATTGCTTAGAATTTTGATACAAAAACATATTTTATAGACTCTACAATTGCTATATAATGTTTTGTACCCGTACTCATTCCTAACCAATCGAGTTATATTTTGTCACCAGTTGCCCTGAAGATCGTACATTTGATTCTCATTACCGTTTAAATAATATTAAAATATAGCGATGATAAAATATCATTTTGTATTATTATATATTCTAATTATAAATTTGTAAGTGAACATATAAGCTTTTTTAACTCTACCATCGCTGCAAATGAATGATGTAATTTCAATTATCTTTAATTGGAATTTCGTTTTGAGTCGGTCGACCCCGCAATGTGTTAAAATCGGAATGTGGCATTTTGAAACTGACATTTCGTAACAAGTTGTTTTTGACCATTAGGCGGTTGTAGTCCAAATAAGCCTCGATCATTAAATCAAGGTATCCCACGCGCGCGCTTATTCTTATTAGCGCGCCGCTGCCGAGTTTGGCTGCAGAGCACGGCCGCTTTGGTAATATCTTTTCCACAAAGAAATCGAAAGTGGTCGCCGAACATGCATTACGCAAAATAATGATAACCCTATATACCACATGCGAAATGACTGATAATCAAAGAGCTGGAGACTTAGTATACCTTAGGCTTTCTGAGGATCGAGCTTTTGTAAGTGAAATTGCGATTGTCAGTGACGGAAAATTATTGAATGAAATACATATAAATTTGTTATAAGAAAGTATCAAAATTATATAATAATAATTTGAAAATTTGGTGGCTTTGCCATTTTAGTTCACTACATAGCTAATTGAAAGTAATTAACTAGTAAATGTTTATCCTCGTACCTCATGATCATTTAGTTAATTTGTGTTTGAAAACTGTATTACCTATTTATAGATTTGATTTCACTAAAAAAATTTTTTTAATATTCATTTCATTTGTAGAGTATGATAATATTGACATAGGGATAAGTCCCCGAGTGCCGGGCACCTAAGATTATTTATAAATAAATGAAAAAATATTTTACGAAATGTTTATTAAATTATGACTTATGTTAGATAACAAAGTGAGAAATCAAACTTAATTAACAAAACCGCAACCTTTGCTAAAAAATAATTAATCAAACTTTGGTAGCAAAAATTTGTACTTTGAAATGGAAAGATTTATACTCGCTTAAATAATACGTGTTAAATAGAGTGTCCGGTGCTAGGTGCCGTCCGGCGTTACGGGATTTCCCCCTAATACAAAAATATTTTTTATGGTATTTATTATTCAGTTTGTAGCTTTTAGTTTTCCACTCGAACAGCATTCCGTTCGATGGTACTTTCATCATTCCATTAATGATAATAGAAAATTTGACATGACTGAATGCTTTGTTTAATGTTTTAATTATTAAATATAATTATTAGATAACATTCTATAATTATTCTTGTTTTCGAAATGATCTTTAGAACTAACAAGACATAATTCAGGTTTGCATTTAGTATCAGTAATTGAGAAATTGTCATTTTCGTAAATAAGCTTTTTTAATAATGAGATCTGTCTGTTGTTTGTATAATTCTTTTTTTGAAATAGATCTTATATCTAACAAGACATAAATCAGGTTATAATAATCTCTACATTATTTTATAAGCATTTTGATAACCCCTAAGTCTGCACACTGGTCAAATGAGATTATATAAATATATTTTGAATTAAAATATACTGTACTGCCCATTACATTCATAAACAATCAAATATTGGATAGCAATTTAGTTGGGTTAAAAAGTTCAAGAAACCTAATTTTTTTTTAAAAAAAAGGTTTAATGATTGAAGAACTGCCTATAGACAAGACGCATTACAATATAAGAAATTATTTTTTACTTCGAAATAGTGCAATAAAAAGGATTAGATTGTATTAATGCTGTATGAAGAGTATTAAAAGTTTTAATTCTTTTTATTGCACTATTTTGAAGTAAAAAAATTATCCCTTATATTGTAATGCAGCCCGTCTATAAATAGTATACCTTAATTATTATTAATCCTTTTTTTCTAAGAAATTAGATTCTTTGAACTCTTCATCCCATCGAAAATGCATTTTAATATTTGATTGTTTAAGAATTTTAATGGTCAGTTGCTTGCACTAAAAATGAACCAATCAAAAAATAATATAAAATTATAAAAGCTTTGTAAACTTGTATCAACTCAAGTTTTAAATAAGATAATGTTGCAGTAATATCTGGAACTTTATCTGATATAAGAATATTTCTATTTAATCTAATATAAGAAACTTCATCTATTATAAGAAACAAGTCTTAAGTTAACATTCGTAGTGAGAATTGCGTATAGTAATTTTATGCCCAAAAATTTTTGGTATTTTTTTATCAATTTATTTATTATTTATAATTCATTTTTATTGTTTTTAGCATGTTAATATATGGCTATTTCAACAAATTACTGGGTAACAATTTATAATTATGTTTGTACCAGTACAGAGATTAATATTGTTTGTTTTATCGAGTAAAGGTTAATATGGCTTTAATATAGAAAGTATTTGTTATTAAGTATGTTAAGTGGTTTTGCAATTAATCGATTCCGGTCAAAGAATTCGGATGAAGTAGTTACTATAAACATAATTTTTAAACAAATTTTAGTATGGTGCGATTATTTGAATTTATATTTTCATAGTCATTTATTCCAAACCCTTAGACGTGAATATCTTCGACGAATTCATCTTAATTTACAATTTACTATATTCAACGTCTCATGTGATTAAGGGCATGTGGATACTCCTTGTATCTATATTAAGGCTCGACTGTTACATCTTCATTCTGGCACGAAGAATTCAAACACATTTTTCGTGCAAGCCTCGGGGAAAAATCACTTTAAAAAGCCTGTCAGCTTTCGGACTATTACGCTAAATAATGATCACCCTACACGCGAAATAACTAACCACGATGCACAAAAATCGGTCGCTTCGTTTGCGTGCAAAAAGCGCGGCTCTTTTTAAAATACTGTTTTTAGCACGTCGTTGCAACACGCGAATGATGGAGAATTACGGCTTGATTAATTTCAGTCTCAAAAAAACACTTAGCATATAATTTAATTTTATTGATAGCTTCGAGAACTTTTATGCTACACTTAGAAGAATGTCGGAAAGTGAAACAAATGCCAAGGACGGAATAATTTGTGTTATGGCTGTATCAATTTGGACCCCGAAGCATAACAGAGTATTTTGTCGATTTTGTTATTTAGATATTTTATGATCAAGGGATTGAGACATTTTATAATGTGTGATCAAAATTTGGAACTATATAGTATTAATCCATAGTTCACGCAAGTAGCATCATAAATATATTAGAAAAATAATATTAAGATGTTAAAGTTCACATCCGAATGGAAAAAAATACTTATAAAAAAATTACTTTTAAAAAATATTTTTGAGATTTAAAAATATATGATTTTATTTAGTTTTTGACCATCTAAAATTTTGATTAATGATAAATATTATTTTTGGAAATTCTGCAATGAGATACTTGAAACTTTTGAAACTAAATATAGTACATTGTATACCTTCAGTACTAATTCAATGTACGTACACCTTCAGTAAGGTGTTAAGTAAATTTTATGTCCAAAATTATTTTATGTTTTAGACGTTTTATTACCATTATTTATATTATTATTACATTTTTATTATTATAAATTTCTTATTATTATTATTTTAATTATTTTTTAACTATAAGATATGATTAATTTATCGAATAATGTCTGACTAAATCCGAATAATTCATTTGCATTGTCTATAGGATTTTAATGTGCCGGATTTTTTTATTTTACATCCGGTTATTCATTGGTCTTTCTTGGCAAAATAAATATTATGAGATAGGTTTTGTTGCAAAAAGCAAGTAAAGTTTCTCATTTTTATTTTATATTCTGTAGACTATAATATTTCGAGCCGTAAAAACAAAAAATCTTTGCAGACGTGTCATATATAAAAACTTATATATTATATACTCGATGGCTATAATTTGAAGAATTTACATAACTTGATGTTTCGATAAATTTAACTTTTTAAAATATTAATTAATTTATGAATCACTCTGTGTTAGACTGATAAAAAAATTTTTTTTTTCTTTAATTTGTGGTTTTACTAAATAATCTAAGTTTTCATCTCATTTTTATTTAGTTTGAAAATTCACTTTATTTGACTTAAATGCATACATTGATTTTTACATAAAGATTTAATTTATGGGAGGAAAACTTAGAATAATGCAGTAAAACTATAATTCTGTAATGAAAAATTTCACAGCTCTCTATTATAGACCGAAATTATTACTGACCTCGAAAACACATTCAGAAGTAATTTTGATGCTTTCAAAGTCTTTGTATCAACAACTTAGTTTTATTTAGTAAGAATTTAATTGTAATTTAAATAAAACATTTTCTTTGTCCCCTTTGCTATATCTTTTCATAAATTTTTGAGGTCATATTGAAATTTGTCACAGTATTTGCGATTTGCCTCGGTCAAATGTTACTTGCTAACTCTATAAGAATTGTATAGGTCACGTGCAGCATGATTCTTTTGTTCGGCGTTCCACATTCAAGAAGTAAATAATAATTATCGAATTGACCTATAAAAGAGGAAAATTTTCGATTTAATCGAAGGGAATTTTCCGAATGTCAAAAAATATCAATAT